CACCCGCCCGCGCCCGCCCGCCCGCGCGCATCGCATCATCTAGCCAGTAGCCCTCCCTGCATCTGTCACCGATCAGTCAACGAGCAAGAGCCAGAACGCGGAACGGAAACGGAAGCCGGTCAAGTCGGAAGTCGGTGTGGTCGTTCGTTCTGTGTGCGTGTGCGGATTGTTCGTATTCCACAGTTGTTTGTCAGTTGTTCACGTAAAAAATGGCAAATCCTGGAGGGGGCGGGGGGGAGGACGCGGGGAGTAAGAAAATTACGCCGGAGGAGCATAAGAATATACTCGATAAAATTGCCAGGGGGGACTGGGAAGTTAAATTAAGAATAGGCGATCGTAAAGGCAAGATCAGCGCTGCCTGGACAACATTCGGCGACGTTGTGGAAGCGGAAACTAACGTTCACCAAGGTTTCGTCAAGTGCACCAAGTGCCCTGTGGTTCATCGGTGGGACAACACGAAGAAGAGCCAACCCACTACAGCACTCAGCAACCACGTCAAATCGTCACCCTGCTCTGTGGCGGCGGCGGCACCCGCACCAGGAGTTCGACAGGTATGTAAACACTCTGTATGTGTATGTGTGTGTGTGTGTGCGTGTGCGTGTGCGTGCGTGCGTGTGCGTGCGTGTGTGTATCGTTATGCATATACTGTACCAGCCGGCTAGATCGTGGTCTGTTCGTTGGTCGTGGCCGCCAGGCCACACAACTCTCGCGTAATAGGCTTTGCAATATCGTGCAAATCATACCGTCGGGACTAATAGGGTGTTCCGGAACCTAAGGATGAAAAGCATGATTGCTCGATCTGTTTCCCTCTGCGCGTTCATTGGCTGACTGACTGCCACGCCACACCGACGCAGTCGTTGACCAATCAGCGTTCAGGAGGAAACAGATCGGGCAGTCATGCTTTTCTTCTTTAGGTTCCGATTGTGTTGTAGCGGAATACCCTATTTATAAGACCCTTGTTTAAATTGGATGAATGTACGCCAGACCACATATCACGTAACAGGCTTCGCAATAGTGACACCCATTCACAGTAATGTATCAGGGGCGTTTTGAAAAGAAAATCATCTTTGAAAAAGATGATTGCCTTGTTAAAAAATGTTGAATGGTGACGTTGAGCCTCGCCGGGCCACAACGCTTATTTTCCCGGGGGCGAGGTAGGGGGTGTAGGGAAAGGGACATGCAAGGGGTGGGGGCAGCGGGGGAGCACTGTAAAAATATCGGGGTAGATTTTAGAAGTAATAGTCTTGGAATACTAGTTGCCAAGTGTTTTATGGTAAAATTACCACACACCTACTAATTTTACAAGATTTGGTTGCTTTTTTTACAAGTGATATATTGTAAAACTGTCTTGCAGCGGAAACCCTATTGTCT